TCACTTTTGTCACCAGTCCAACAAGTGGTGAATAAAAATGTCGTGTGGAAAAAAAAGTGTGCTCCAAGCGCTGCTTGGGCTGGCGCTGACTCAGCTGATGCTGCTTGGAACGACGTCAGCATCAATCGAAAAAGAAAACCCCCCTGGGGCCCACCCGCATGGCTAGGGCCCAAGGCAGGCAGGTTCCAGGCCGTCGTCGGCAACCGTTGGTGTGTCAACAGACAATTCTTCGAACTGACGTCGATTGGGAGGGGGGGCTTTGTGTGGGCATTGGGTATTTTGTGTGCCGGATGTGAATGTGCGTTAAGCTTAGGCACACTGACTAACTTAATGTGGTCAGTCAGCCCACTCTCTTTCTCCCTCTATCTGTCTCTTTTTTATCTCCCTTACTCATTCTCTCTCTCTCTTTTGGCTTATCTTTGCAGTTTTCGAAGCGCATACGTGGAGGCAACAGCGAGAGAAGTAGTCGCTGCAATTTTCGTGCAACGCCGCCGCAAGCCAAGGCCAAACAGTCGCAGCAATGGCAACACTAATACCAGCGACAGGATGCAACACAGCGAGCGCACAGTCCTCAAATGTTGAGGCCACATATGAAGATATGTTCAAGGAAATCACACGTAAACTATACGGCGAGGAGACCGGCAACGGTTTGCATACGCTCGGCACGCCGGTGGCTCAGGTGGCCACCAGTGGACCCACGGCGGTGCCCGAGGGCGAGCAGCGCTCGTTTACGAATTTGGTAAGTAAAGGGACGGAGGCTAAATAGTTAACAGTGGTTCGATCAACAGTGAAACTGAATCGAAATAATAAAGAAATTTTCCTCTGTGATCTTATAATTATAAAAAAAAAACTTAAAATTGATATAACAAAAAATTATAAATAATGCATGAAATAAAAAATAAAAAAAAAAAACAAAAAAAATAAAATAATAATAAAAATAAAAATAATAAAGAAAATATATAAAATTAATAAGAAACTATATATAAAAAAAATAAATAAAAATAATAAAATAAATAAAAATAATAAAATAAATAAAAAATAAAAATATAAAAAAAAAAATTAAATAAAATGAATACAAAAATATAATAAATAAATATCGGTATACAAATATAAAAAATAAAAATATAATAAATAAAAAAAAAATAAATAAAATGAATACAAAAATATAATAAATGCACGCTACGCGTGCATAATAAAATATAAAATAATTTTAATATGAAAATAAAATATAAATAATTTATTAATTTTTCTTTTATTTTCACCTTTCTCTCAATAGCAACAAATTGATCGCACCGCCGCGCCCAGCATTGAGTACGAAGCAAGTGGTGCTGCGGGCGGCGGCAGCGGCAACAACGTGGCCACAACCCAGGCCAATGTTATCCAACAACAGCAGCAGCAGCAGCAGCAATCAGAGTCGGGCAACTCTGTGGTGGTCAGCGCCAGCGGCAGCGGCGCCTCAGTGGTGCCGGCGCCCAGCGTCGCAGCCGTGGGCAGCTTCAAGTCCGAGGATCATTTGAGCACAGCTTTCGGTCTGGCTGCCCTAATGCAGAATGGCTTTGCCGCCGGCCAGGCGGGCCTGCTGAAGGCCGGCGAGCAGCAGCAGCGCTGGGCGCAGGAGACGGGCGCAGCGGAGCAACAGCAGCCGCAGCTGGTGCAGTGGACAACGGGCGGTAAGCTGCAGAGCTATGCGCAAGTGAGTCAGCAGCAGCAACAGCAACAGCAGCAGCAACAACAGCAACAGCAGCAGCAACAACAACAGCAGCAGCAGCAACAACAGCATCAGAGCACGCCCAAGTCCAAGTGAGTAGCTAGCGGTGTAATTGGATGTTGGAAAAGGATTTGAATCTCTTGTTATTCCCTTAGAAAACATCGTCAGGAGCACTCGGCGGAGCTGATCTATGCCAGTCCCTCCACATCGGCCAATGCGGCCCAGAACCTGGCCCAATCCACGCCCACCTCAGCGCCCACCAATTCGAGCAGCAGCAGCGGCGGCGGCAGCAGCTCTGGCTCTGGCGGCGGCAGTCGCAGCAAGAAATCCTCCCAGGCCCAGGCAGCGGCCGCCGCAGCCGCAGCGAACGGAGTGCACATCGTGAAGCGCTACGCGTGCACCCATTGCCCCTACTCGACGGATCGCCGGGATCTGTACACACGCCACGAGAACATCCACAAGGACGAGAAGCCCTTTCAGTGCTATGCCTGCCTCAAGCAGTTCAACCGCGCCGATCACGTCAAGAAGCATTTTCTGCGCATGCATCGCGAGCTGCAGTACGACATCAATAAGACGCGCCGGCATGTGCCCGCCGGCAGCGGTGGTGGCGGCAGTGGCTCCGGCGTCGGCTCGCATCATGCGGGCGGCCGTGGCAACGTGACGATCAATGCGACGGGCGTGAACATTGATAATGCCTTCCTGGAGGCACAGCGACATCCCACCTCGACCAGCATGAGCATTGCGGAGACCATCGAAGCGGTGGCCTCCGCTGCGGACATGCCGCTCGCCCAGCTGAAGCAGGAGAAGTTGGACGATGGCTCAGTGCTGCCGCTGCATGTGGCCGCCGTGATGAACAGCGCCCAGCAGCCGGTGGCCAGCTCCAGTTCCGGTTCGGGCAGCAGCAGTGCCGCCGGCTCCGGCCTGCTGAAGCCGAAGCGCGAGAAGCGCTTCACCTGCTGCTACTGTCCCTGGTCGGGCGCCGACAAGTGGGGCCTCAAGCGTCACCTCAACACCCACACAAAGCCCTTCGTTTGCCTGCTCTGCGATTACAAGGCGGCGCGCTCCGAGCGCCTGGCCACCCACGTGCTCAAGGTGCACAACAAGCGGGCGTGCAGCAAGTGCTCCTACCTGGCCGACACCCAGGAGGAATACCAAATTCACATGAGTGATGTGCAGTAAGTAGAGCCAATTGCCAGTTCTATTGAGTTGTTAA